CACAATCAGTTTTACGTTATAAATAGTTTTGCTAATTATGATTCTAAAACTATATGTTAAATGGTTTTGTGGATTATGGCTGTAAATAGGCAAGACTTAAAGATTGACTGTATATATGTTTTGAGAAACATATATGTTAAGATTTGAATATTTTAATCAAGAAAGAAATTCGTAACTTATGTCTACTATATGACCTTTAAAAAAAACGTGCCGCAAATTTTAAAAAATTTCAGTAAATATAAATTAATTTTAACTACAATTACAATGACGGCCACTGAGTCGTCACAAAATTTTCTCCGTAAACATAATTATTATCCGTTTTACACAAGGTGAGAATTGAATTGTAAGAGGACTTTTGGCAAAAGAGAACTAAAAAAATAGGGGAAGAAAAAAGCCAAAAAAAAAAAAAGTAAACAACAAGGGAGTTGACACTTATAAGCGGAGAAAGTGAATAGAAAAAGGGTTTGTCTCTTTTATGTAGAGATAAAGATTAATCTTATATGGAGCTTGCAAAGACTGTAAAACATCAATTCGAGCAGCAAACACACCTCATCAGCAAAGACTATAAAACATCAATTCGAGCAGCAAACACACCTCATCAAGTTATTCAAGCCCGTACAATCTATTTTCAAGCCCGTACAATCTTATTTTCTTTGCTACTAGTTGTAGCATTCTCCGTCAATGCTCCATCTGCATCTTGGTCAACAGATTTTTTTTTTTTTTTTTTGTGGTGCTGGAAATCTCAGGTCAAGAGCATCTTTAACCGTGTATATAATAATATAGTAACATGAAAACAATTTAAAATCGAAGGCTCCTAGCTATTCAACGCAGTTTTATGTCATCCCCAACATTATCTATCCATAATATATATGTGTGTGTGTGTAGATATTCCACGAGTTCGTGTATTGGAATAAAAGAATACTGCCATACCAAACACTTATCGAACACATATACCCATCCCAAAAAGATCCAAAAAAGAAAGAAAAAAAAATGGAGTTTTTCAATAAGGCCAAGGCCGTACGACTCAAGAGCCACCTAGACAAGTACTTGAACGCCGACGACGACGAAGAGACCGTCCGTCAAAACCGAAACGGCTCGTCACGAAGAGCCTGGTGGAAGGTCGAGCTCGTCGACGGGAAGAGCCACGTCATCCGTCTGAAGAGCTTTTACGGCAAGTACCTCACGGCCTGGGACGAGCCCTTTCTCCTGGGCATGACGGGAAAGAGGGTCCTCCAAACGACACCCGCTTCGGAAAACGACACGGCGATGATCGAGTGGGAGCCCAGGACGGAGGCGTTCCAGGTGAAGCTGAGGACCAGAGGAGGGAAGTACTTGCGGGCCAATGGCGGGACGCCGCCGTGGAGGAACTCGGTCACTCACGACGTTCCTCACCGGACGGCGACGCAGAACTGGATTATTTGGAGTGTGGATGTGGTGGACATTGACGTGGTAGAGCTCATGACGGAGGAGGATTCTGTGAGATGTCGTTTGTCGCCTACGTCGAGCTTGTTGTCGTCGTTTTCAGACTTGTCGGACACGGGTTCTCCGTTGGGTATTGGCCCGGTTTCTAGGGGATCTGGGTTTGGAAGTTGCAGGGAGGTATGACTTTTGACTTTTGAGTATTTTATGATTTGGACCTTTTATTTTTTATATTTTATTTTTAGGAGGCATTTTGTCCCCTTTCCATCTTAGAGGAACTATTATTTCTAAAATTTGCCGTTGAGGTAATGATTTTAGAATTCATAAGAAAACAAAAAAAAAAAACAAAAAGGAAAAAAAAAAAAAACAAACATTGATATGTCTATTATTGCATACATAGAAAGAATATCAACTTTGATAAGTATATAGGCTATTTCGACTTTTGCAAACAGGAAAGGGAAAGAAATTTCTCAAAATTGAGCTGAGAGGAAAGCCACTAGCTATTTCTTTTTCCTAGAAAGCACAATCTTAATATAGAAGTTTTTTTTTTTTTTTAAAAAAAAAAAAAACTCTATTCGTTGGTAACATTTCAGCATCTTGAAAAAAAAAAAAAAAAAGATTACAACTAGGATGAAATATTCCTTTTCATATAATTTTTTTCCCAATTTGAAATTTTATAATCATCTTATATGTAGTTTTAAAATAAATTAGCATATTGAAAAGTCATTTTCAATAAAGAAATGTTTAAATTCCATGAGTCAAAACGTGACATCTCGGCCAGCCGCCAGTAATATATACTGAGTTGAAATTATAAATTACTAAACGAACAACTGGTAAAACTAATATACTATATACTACGATATTTGCTTTTAATTACCTCTTGTTAATATATATACATGGAGACTGCGTCTTAGCTTATTAGGGAGAGTAAGTCAAATCTTAGAAGATAACAGATTACCCTATTAATTTGTATTCCAAATCTTATCAGAACCTATTTAATTATTTATTTATTTACTTATTTTTGCTGATGCAGAACCCATACAGTTAATTAAACACGCGAAACCATTTCAAAAAATAATAATAATAATAACCAACAAAAACCGTTCCATGCAAAACTAACAGAAATAAATCACGAGAACCACACATGCATCTTTGTTATTTACATTTTACGCGTAGCGCACACGATATAACGCTAAATTTATTTTCATACAAATATCACAGATTTTTCTCTCCTAATAAGATCAAATATTGGCTCTAATTATTCTATTTGATAATCAGTTTCAATCCAGAATAACAATTGGTTGCTTCATATAATCTGTCGATTCAATCTATTAAGGTACTATATGCAAACAAATTCAGTGTGTCATACAACCATGTATTGAGATCTATGGCGATTCAATTGTATCTTTTTTTTTTTTTTTTTTTTCGTTTTCAGAGTGCTATGGAACTCTTCCAAAAAGTCAGGGTGGTACGCCTGCGGAGCCACCACGAGAAGTATCTATTAGCCGACGACGACGAGGAATCCGTCTGCCAACACCGCAACGGCTCCGTCAGGAACGCGAGATGGACGGTGGAGATCGTCGACAACACCGGTGCGAACGTGTTGCGCTTCAAGAGCTGTTACGGCAAATACTTGACGGCGTCCAACATGCCATTCCTTCTGGGAATGACCGGAAAGAAAGTCCTCCAAACTCTGCCCACCCGGCTGGATTCCTCCACCGAATGGGAGCCAATCAGGGAAGGATTCCAGGTCCGTCTCAAGACGCGCTATGGCCAATTCCTCCGCGCGAACGGAGGCCTGCCGCCGTGGAGGAATTCGATCACGCACGACATCCCTCACAGAACCTCAACGCAGGATTGGGTCCTGTGGGACGTGGACGTCGTGGAGCTTCGCCCAAGATCTCCGAAACGTTCGCTGCTAGCATTGGCACCGTCTAGTCCTCCGCCTGATGCGTCTTCAGAACCGGACTCCCCGACCAAATTTGAACTTACATCTTCCAAACTTCCCAGCCACGAGGTTTGTTCAAATTAATATAACAGAACGTAATGTTCTGTTATTGTTAAGATCTAGACGCACTAATAATAACAGTAAAATGGCATAAGAAAAGCAAACAAATAAAGACTTAAAATTTTGGTGGTTTACCTAAATATAGGAAGCTATATCTACTTTCAACCGTTACGGTAATTCACTATGACGAAGAAGAAAATTGAATAGAAATCACAAAGTGCTCATTGTATCTTTTAACCTTTCTCACTTAACCCTAAAAGTAACACCTCTCCATTTTGTCTCTAGTTCATAGTAATAATTAAGCTTCATAACTTAATTTTTGTGATATGTTACACCATGACAAGCCTTGTTTAGTTACTTTAGTACTTGGTGCTCTTCTCTGACGCTTTGTACTTATTTCTTGAAATGCAGTCAAGTGATTTGTTTGATGGTTTGGCGGCGAAAGCCGAAGGAAGGACAATCTACTACCATGTGTCGAACGAGAACGAAGATGAAGACGAGGCAATGGAAGAACTTTTCTTCGCATTCAAAGGCAACGGCGTTGAGGAGTTAAAGGAAAAATTGAAGGAAGAGACGGGGCTTCACGACATCGTTGTGTGTTCTCGCAATCCATTAAATGGGAAGCTCTATCCCCTTCGCTTGCATCTTCCTCCAAACAATACAGATATGCATGTTGTAGTTGTTCCCTCGTCATCTGAAGGTAATTAGTTTTCAATATGAGCTTTTGTAATCAGTTCTTTTTTTGTGTTCTTATCTATTGGTCATCTTGATTACTAAAGCGGTTTTGATGCATGCTGTTGTGATTTTAGAAATATGGTTCAAAAAACATGTTTTGGTTTACTAGAAGTATTTGTTGTTTGGTTTATACATGTTAGTGTTGGCTTGCTTTTTGATAACTATTATTGGCTATCTATTCATGTTAATTGGACCATAATCGTCTTGTGAACATTAACAGCAGGTAGGTGATCACTGGAGACTGCAGTTCCAATGCAAATAAAACTGAACTTGCAGAACCAGTTAACAGCATTAAATGTCTATATACTCTGTATATACAGCTTCTTAATCTGCTCAGACTGCCAATAAGCAATTGAGAGAAGGGTAGAGGGATCGTTTTTTTATTGAACAATGCTATATGGTACTAGTGGTGCTTAGCACCACCTACTAATAAAAGGTGCTGCAGAACTCACATGTGAGGCTCATCTTTTATTAGTGATGGTGAGGCTCATCTTTTATTAGTGATGGTGCTTAGGCCGGTGTCCTAAAGTATTTTTCTTTTTTATTACTTGAACCACCGAGGAAAGAGAGGATAGCAATATTTGCAACAGCTATAAAGTATTCTGAAGGTTGTTATTTGTTATGGGCATTGGTGAAGTTTTATCCCATTCTGAGAACTTGGATGTGAATAAGAGCCAATTTTTTAGACAATTTTCTGCCGTACACGTACTCTTTTTCTTACAAGTCAATATCTCTTATGAATGCCAATTATTTTTGTTGTATATACTTCCTAATAAGAACTGGAAATAAAGTGAAATATGTTTGCATGTTTATTTTTACTTGTGTTTTATAGGCCAGCTGAATCCATGAACACGGGTGGGTTATAACAGCTGGAAAGTAAAAGAAGTTTCAATCATTCAATGACACCATTCCTTTTTTTTCCCCCTCTCTCTCTCTCTGATTAGCGCAATGACATTCAACAATGCACTTTGGAATTATTCTTGGGCCAATAGCAGGTGAAGCTGAAACCAGAATGAAAAACACATGTGAAGCAGAACAATTAACCGAAAATTAAGCACCAAGAGTTCAGTTAAGATTCCGATTAACTGTTATTATGAAGTAAATATTCGTATGTTTCAGCATATTCTGCACAAGGGTCATGAATCGAGTTAGAAGATAATAAATATAGCATTACGCATATCTTAGCTTGACAAGAATGCACAATATCTCCTGAAACAAACTCATTCACCCTTCCATCAACCTCTACTGTACTGCAACCTGGTGTCTTCCTGATCCCTTTATCACCAATCATCTTCCGTATCAGAACTGCATCTTCAGTTCTCTGAGCAGCCAAATAAATGTTCGATAACTGTACGTACACACCATCTTGTCCTCTCTTGTCCTCATTTTCTAGCAGCACAAGCTCCTTAACGGCAAGCTCTGCAAGATCTACATAGTTACGGATACGGCAACCGCTTAGTAAAGCACCCCAAACAGAAGCAAGTGGCTTCATGGGCATTCTTCTAATGAGCTGATATGCTTCCCTTAGCTTACCTGCCCTGCAGAGCAGATCCACCACACAACTATAGTGCTCATGTTTCGGCAAAATACCATATTGACTTTCCATGTTGTGCAACAGAAGTTGGCCTTCCTTTTGGAGCCCTGCATGAGTACAAGCAGTCAGTACTCCAAGAAGGACAACCCCGTCAGGCTTGAGCCCATCATCTGCCTGCATCCTCTCCAAACAACGAATCGCTTCCATCACCTGCCCATGTACTGCGAACCCCCCAATAATGGCAGCCCAAGAGAAAGCGTTCCTGGTAGGCATCTTCTCAAAGACTTCCACAGCCATGTCCAAACAACCACACTTTGTATACATATCAACAAGAGCCGTTCCCACAAACACGTCCGATTCAAATCCTTCCCTCTTCTCAATGTACTCATGTATCCACTTCCCCCACCAAAGAGCTCCCGACTGTGCACAAGCCGTGAGTGCAGTAACAGCGCAACATTCATCAAGCTCAACCCCGAATTTCAACATATCCCTAAAAACCCCCAATGCCTCAGAAGCCAAACTACACCGAATATACCCGTCCATAAGAGCATTCCACTGGAAAAGATCTCTGTGACCTCGAACACTTTCCTTGCATCCTCCATAACCTTACACACCACATACAATCTAATAAGCGCAGTCTGAACGTAACAATCCAATAAATTCATCCCATTTTTCACCACCCGACAATGAACTTGCGTGCCTTCGAGAACCAAGCCGCCATTGACGCAGGCCAAAAGGACAAAACTAAAAGTCAGGTTATCGGCAACTTTGTCTTTCACCGTGGGTTGGAAGTAACGGAGAGCCAAATGAGGCTGAGAACTGCGAGAATAGGCCCTTATGAGAGTGTTGTAAATGAAGGAATTGGGTGTCTGGATTTGGTTAAACATAAGCGAGGCGTGTCGGAGGTCGCCGGAGTCGGAAAGCGCGCAGAAGGCGATGAGTTTGCTGATGGCGTAGTTGTTGAGGTGGAGGCCGGTGGTGATGAAGAGGGCGTGGATGGGCTTCAGCTGACGCATGTTGGCGCAGCGTTGCGCAAGAGATATGAACCGCTTCCAGTTCCATGATTGGATGCTGGCGGTGGCCTGACTCATGCACGAGGATGTATAGTCTAAATGCTATAAAACTCAACTTAGAGGTGTCAAGGTACCGTGTTTATATATATATATATATGACATGGAATAACACAGACATGGAATAAAATTTATGGTCTTTATTTGTTAGTTGCAAGATCTATATTTTTACTTTTTTTTATTTTGACATGATTTTAATTAAATTCAAGAATTAAATAGACTCTATCATTAGAAGACCTTACCTTAAAAGAATCTACAAATATCTAGTCGGGAAGAACACTCGTGGCCCTTATCTTACTTTAGGGGCAAGAAGTTGTCACCGTCCCGCCCTAAAACATATTTGCAATCCCTTGATCCTGCTATATCAGGGTGCGCCTATGTGGGAAAATGCATAGCTAATTTGGTAAAATGGATAAATGCATAAAAATGACTTAAAATAAGAAAAATAGAATTGAAAAATAAGACAAAAGTTTAGGTTGAGCTGGACGCCAGACTATTATTCTCATTTAAAGAGAATGAATAACTCAATTGTTGTCATCGTAATTGGAGATTTTAACAGAATATCTTTAGGAAATTTCCGAAAATGTGAAACTAAAATGGGAGTGAATATGGTACCAGTTTGGTTGAATCACGCAATGTTGACTTTAAGCCGCCAAGATAATGCGACTATGATAAGTGACGATGATTCATTGCAAAATTCAACGAAGTATTATGCTTGATGGCTGAAATGTAAATTATCTTGGAGTTCTCATTGATCGGGTGGTAAAATAGACCATGTGCTTATTAGGCTCGACAATTTTTTCTCATAACATGTTAGATCCGACGTCATAGTGTTTATTGTCTGTAAAGCTAATGAAAGTTGATTAATGCCGAGTAGAATACTTTTTATTGTATATAAAACTAATGAAAGTTGATTAATATTGAGGAGATAGTTCATGATCCAAAAGACGGTCTATTTTATTCAAGTCACAAGACAATGACAAAATTTACAATTAACCAACACATATTATTTTATATCATATATTAAAAATGTATAAACCTCTACCAAATATCCTCTATATCTTCATTCTCTACCATACATACCACTAATTCCATTAAAATATGCATATCTTCATTCTCTTTATACACACCACAAAATCTATTGATAACAAAATCATAATTATGTACTTTGTTTATCAAAAGTACTCTACCTAAGAGTTTGTAAATATTAGAGTTAACAAATTTGCATGTACATACCACTAATTCGATTGAAATATGCATACCTTCATTCTCTTTACACACACACCACAAAATCTATTGATAACAAAATCATAATTAAGTACTTTTGTTACCTAAGAGTTTGTAAATATTATAGTTAACAAATTTGCATGTTCATCCCATTATATTACACTACCTTACTCACAACAAACATTTTTCCTAGCGATGTGGGAGAATCACTTTTTGTTTGTTAACAAGTTACCGTCCGTTTATAAGATTAACTAACTTTTTAAAGAATATCATTTGAAAACCAACCTACTTAAAAAAAAAAAATTAACTTTAGTAGTTGCAAGTTTTTTTTTAAAATTTTATTTTTAAAGAATACAAGCAACAATTTGATGGAAAAAATAATGTTTTGTAAAACGACGTATTAAAAAAAATCATAAAGAGTAACACAACGTCATGTTTTGTTTTTTGAAGAGTAGACAAAGTATAGTGATAGTGCGAGAAATATCTTTATGAGTGTGTATATATATATACACAAGTATGTATTTGATTTCTTGTGCATTTTTCCTAAAGTTTTATTCAACCATAAAGATTAAAAGTAGAAAACATGCTCGCCAAATAAAGAAGAAAGAAGCGCCTTTGACACAAGAAGTGAGCTCACAGCCAATGTCTCAGACCGCACCACGTCATTCGAGTTATTTGCGGTAACTACTCAAGTAACCCTGGCTGATTTTGAGCAAAATCAGCTTTATTTGGGATTATTATGAGACGTTTGGTAAGATAATTCATACTATGATTTGAATCATGATTTATAGTTCGTTATAGTATTTTTTTTCATAAAAAATACACGTAAATAAAAAATGGTTCTAATCTCATGATTCTAATCCATGAACCAAACTTCTCCTTAATATTGTATTAGATGGATCGAGTTTTTAGGTAAACCTGTTTAATGGTGGTCCAATATGTTTATATAGGATTCTTTTATACTGTCAGGAAGAATATTCTTGACACTGTATCGAAAGATATAATAATTTGTGAAATTTTACGTTAAAATTAAAAACTCGCCATAAAATTGTAAAAGTTACGATAACTTGTAAATTTTATGATAATTTACGTTAAAACTTGTAAACTTAAACTATTCATCGTATTTAAAATTTCACAAATTGTCATTTAAGTTTACAACGTGATCATTTTAGTTTATAAAGACTAATGTAAAATTTTATAAATTAACGTATCTCTCTGTACGGTGTGGGAAAAAAGACCCCGACAACATAAAAAGATCCCTTTATATATTGGTGTTTGTTATTGTGTTTAAGGGTTCGTTTGGAGTAAAGATCCGTACTATAGTTTAGATCATAGTTTGTGGTTCGCTACAATTTTTCTTCTCACAAAAAAAAACATAAATTAAAAATAATTTTGAATCATGATTCTAAATCTGGGGATGTTTGATTGGAGGATTCAAATCATGATTTAAATCATGATTCATAATTTACTATAGTATTTTTTCTCACAAAAAATATATATAAATAAAAAATAATTTTAATCACATAATTTTAATTCCTGAACTAAACGTCTCCAACCAAATGTCCCATAAATGATTTGAGATTCAAATTTCTTTTTACCTTTACACAGATTGGTGTTTGTATTGCTTTTTAATATATTTTTCTTCCATTCCAAATAATGTGCCACCTGTCCGACCGACAGGCGTCAGATGTTATCTCTAACCGCACCATGTGTATTGTATACACTGATGTCATGACTACCTGCTCATTTGCTGGGAATCTAACAGCCGAGGGCAGTGTGCACGCGCGGCATGAGCTTCACTTCGACCCGCTTTCTCCTCCACTGTGGGGTTTCGTGTGCCACCCGAGAGTTTGGCTGCCTCCCCTCAACTCCCACGACGCGCAAATTTTCTACCACTACCGCCATTCCAATAGCCCCAAGGGTCAATATCTATTTCTCAATTCTCAATGCTCGATCGCTCCTAAAACTTTTATGGGCATTCTTTTTTATGTTTTTGGTTTTATTGGAGTTTCAATATGTGTGGTGATTTTCTCCGGTTGGCAGAGAAGTGAAGAGCTATTGGTTGTAGCTGGTGGTGGAGCAGCTGGTGTTTATGGAGCAATTAGAGCCAAGACTGTTGCGCCTCAGCTCAGTGTTTTGGTTATTGAGAAAGCAAAACCTCTTTCTAAGGTTTCTTTTCCTTTCAAATTTTCTCTCCTTTTTTTTTTTTAATTAGTTCTTATAAAATAAAATTTTTAAAAAAGCTGTGTTCTATAATTCTATTGGCAGGTAAAGATTTCTGGAGGTGGCCGATGCAATGTGACTAACGGCCATTGTACTGACAATATGGTGAGTTTTATTTGTGACTGAAAGTCTCTTTACCGTAACATTTTGCCTGATTCCTTTTTTTCTTGGTTACTATGCAACTATAAGAACAACTAGATTTTGGTTCTCTATTGAGTTTTCTGTTCACATTAGAAGATTTATTTACTTGGGTTTTGTTCTTATTTAGGAAGAGAAATTGTTGCCTTTATGTTGCTTTGCCTCCATATAGGAATTGGAGAATTTTCTCCACATTTGTAACTAATGCTTAACAGGCTCAAGCTATAATGTCTCTTTTTTCCCTTTGTATTTAGAATTGTAACTTGAGGATTTTTCTATGCACAAATAATGTTCACAATGATGAATTTCTTCTAGGTTTTGGCAGAAAATTACCCAAGGGGTCATAAAGAATTTAGAGGATCTTTTTTCGAGATGCACGGGCCAGTTGATACCATGTCCTGGTTTACAGATCACGGAGTGGAGCTCAAGGTTGTTCCACAAACTCCATGTTACTTGTTTCATATGTATTTTGCATGTTTAATATACGCGTCAGTGCTCACAGGTTGAGGAAGATGGAAGGGTATTTCCTGTCAGTAATAGTTCTTCTTCGATAATCGATTGTCTCATGTCAGAAGCAAAAGGGAAAGGAGGTAGTCCATCCTTTGAACTATGGTACTACTTGATTTCCTTTCTAGTTCTTGCACTAGCTGGGGAGAGGGTCTTGCATTTCTTTACTCGAGAAAATACGAAAAACCTTTTCTTGTTATCAAGGATCCTAAGTTGTTCTTCTAATATAAATGTTCCTTATTAGTTGTTATGCAGACTAAAAAAGTTGTGAAAACTGCATCTGCTAATGACGGGAAATTCCTCCTTGGTATTGAGAAGAATGCTTCTAGCTCTCTTGAATATGTTGAAGCTGATTATCTATTGATTGCTAGCGGTAGTAGCAGTCAGGTTGGTTTGGACATATGGCCTTTTCTTGCAATCTCATGTCTTCGGTTTAAAATTATTGAAATATGTTTGTTCTTTTCACAGGGTTATAGTCTTGCATCTCAGCTTGGTCATTCCGTTGTTGACCCTGTGCCAAGTTTATTTACATTCAAGACGGCAGATTCACAGCTAGCAGAGTTGTCAGGAGTAATGCCCGTTTACAAATTACTCTTTATTAATGATTAGCAATAGCATGTTTGTTGTTACTCGTGAAACATATGCACATAGGTGAAGAAAAAACTTGCGTGTAGTTCTTGACTATTGATGATTTTGTTGAAACAACATTCTATTAGAAAACCCGAACTCAAAGTGACAGCAGTAATATTTTTCTGCAATGCAAGCAATCCATAATTGACTAGGATGATAAAATGGCTGTATGTGGACATGGAACTAAAAATTTGGAAACCATTTGTCCTTTCAAGAATCTTCCATCTTTTATTCATTGGCAATGGTTTCCTTTTTTTTTTTTTTTTTCCTTTTAAACCTCTAAGAACAGCTTATAATTACCAATTTAAAGGCCCTGTTCATCAGAATCCACATAATGTTGAGTTAAGACTGCATGATATTATTCCTCTGGGCTAAATTCAATAGTACCGTCTTTTCCCTTTTTGATATACAGGTTACATTTCCTAAAGTTAAGGCAAAGCTGATATTAGAAAATGTCAAAAGGAACATACAACAGTTTACACAGGTAAATTTTGCTCCTTGCCGTGATCTTACCACTGATTTTAAATTACATAACGTTAGAAATATCCGAGACCTTTGGAATTGTAGGTTGGGCCCATGCTAGTGACTCATTGGGGACTCAGTGGGCCAGTAATTCTTCGGTTGTCAGCTTGGGGTGCTCGTGATCTATTCAGTTCAGGTTACAAAGGTAAGGAAATTTCCCCCATCTTTTCTTTCCCCTGGTTGTCATATTATTCACACTTCAAAATATGAATTTCGTCATTTCTTAACTTGATGGTGTTTGGATGCAGGGATTGTTATGGTGGATTTTATGCCCGATTTGCATATAGAAGATGTTAAGTCGATCCTTAGTCGACACAAGCACCAGTTTGCAGTATGCCTGAAACTTGTTGCTTCATTTGTGAACTTCTATGACTTCTTTTTTCTTTTGTAGAGAGAGGGTAAAAATTTTGATTTTCTGTAGGGAAATTTGTTTGAAATGAGTTTGTTGGAAAAAAGACTAATAATTCGAGGTATACCCAACTCTGTGTCTGGTTGTCAAAACCTGAAGTTGACTTTTTAACTCGGAATCTGCATAATATGACAACCTATGTAGCTCTCTATAAAACCAAATATTTCAAGCTGGCTTATGCTTTCGTAAATGAAGATACGTTAAAGACACTTTAAAATTATCCTTCTGTCGAAGACCTAGGGTTTTTGAAAGTTAGGAAATTATCTTTTAAGGAGATTATCATTCTAAAAGTTAGGAGTTATCTCTTCCTAGATTATGTTTTTAAATTTACAAATCCGGATAGAATGTTTGATTGGGTCTAGATAAGGATGACTTGGAATCCAATTAGGATTTCATGATTAGGTTAGATTTTTTAAGTTAGTTTTATGCCTATAAATAAGCTTGTAAATTCTGCATATTAATAATAAGAAAATAAGTTCATTTTCTTCAAAAAAATTACATGGTATCAGAGCTAGCTCTTAAGTTTTAATGGCAAAGACTGCCATGACCGGAGCAAGTAGGACCTCTGCTTCTTCAAGGGATTCCGTAGAGAATGAGCAGTCCAAAACCACTGCCATGACCAACGGCACAGACCCATTAGCACCATATGCAAATCCTTCTCTTCAGATCACTGTTCACAAATTAAATGGCAAGAATTACCTGGAGTGGGCTCAGTCCATGAAACTCGCAATTGATGGAAGAGGAAAACTTGGCCACTTAACCGGAGAGGTAAAAAAACCAGCAGTGGGTGATCCGAATCTAAAGGTATGGCGATCCGAGAGCTCTTTGATAATGGCGTGGCTCATCAACTCAATGGAGCCGGCTATTGGGAAACCCCATCTATTCTTACCAACCGTCAAAGATATGTGGGAAGTTGTACGTGAGATGTTCTCAGACCTGGAAAACTCCTCACAAATCTTTGAACTAAAGACGAAGCTGTGGCAATCTAGGCAGGGAGATCAAGATGTCACAACATACTACAACGAGATGGTGACTTTATGGCAAGAATTGGATTTGTGTTATGAAGATGAATGGGATTGTTCTACTGATAGTGTGCGGCATAAGAAAAGAGAGGAGAATGATCGAGTTTACATGTTTCTAGCAGGACTCAATCAAGAATTAGATGAAATAAGAGGAAGTGTCTTAGGAAAAAAAACTCTTACCATCTATTAGAGAAGTGTTTTCAGAAGTTAGGAGAGAGGAGGCTAGGCGAAGAGTGGTGCTAAAAGCCTAAGAACCGAAGCTCAATCTTGAAGCAGAAAGTTCGGCTCTAGTCTCTAGAGGATTTGATCCGGAGGAAAAAAAGAAAAAGAAACCATGGTATGATCACTGTAAAAAACCATGGCATACAAAGGAAACATGCTGCAAACTTCATGGCAAACCGAATAATTTTACAAAGAAGAATGGAGGTGATGGCAAAGCATTCCAAACCGTGAGTGAGGATTCTCAAAGGCAGCAAATCAACTCAGAAATAACCCAGTTCACAAAGGAACAACTAGACCATCTGTACAAACTATTTCAATCTCCACAATTTTCAAATTCTTCTTGTTCTTTAGCTCAAAAGGGTAATGATCTCATTACAGCTCTCTCTAGTATAAAATCTAATATGTTTTGTCTATAGATTATTGACTCTGGAGCCACAGATCACATGATTGGCTCTTCAAAACTATTTTCATCCTACAAACCGTGTGCAGGGAATAACAAGATCAAATTTGCAGATGGATCCTTTTCAGCCATAGCTGGAATATGATCAGTCAGCGTTTCTCCATCCCTCACACTTCATAATGTCCTTCATGTTCCAAATTTGTCTTGTAACTTGTGAGTTTTAGGAACTAACCTCGGGGAGGACGATTGGCAGTGCTAGAGAGATTGGTGGACTTTATTTCTTTGAAGATGGATCCGAATCAAGAAGACCGACACATAGTACTTGTCTTGAATCTATTTCTATTACTAGTAGGGATGAAATAATGATGTGGCATTGTAGGTTAGGCCACCCTAGTTTTCAATACTTAAAACATTTGTTTCCAAACTTATTTAGAAATAAAAATCCATCTTCATTTCAGTGTGAATTTTATGAATTAGCTAAACATCATCGTACCACATTTCCATTGCAACCATACAAGGCTTCAAAACCTTTTTCATTAATACATAGTGATGAATGGGGGCCTTCACGGATCACAACACCATCGGGAAAGAGATGGTTTGTCACTTTCATAGATGATCACAAATGGGTAAGTTGGGTTTACTTACGAAAAGAAAAGTCATATGTGGAGGAGGTGCTCAAAAATTTTTATATAATGGTGATGACAATTTCAAACACAAATCAAGTTTTTCGAAGTGATAATGGAAAAGAGTATTTTAACAAGATTTTGGAAAAATTCTTCCTAGAAAAAGGCATAGTTCACCAAAGCTCGTGTAATGACAACCCTCAACAAAATGGAATAATTGAACGAAAGAATAAAACCTCCTAGAAGTAGCTAGAGCACTACATTTCACAAATAAGGTCCCGAAGTATCTTTGGGGGGAGCTATCCTCACAGCTACCTACCTTATTAATAGGATGCCAACTAGGGTGTTGAAACTCAAAACACCATTACAGGTTCTTTCAAGTTGCTATCCAACATCTAGGTTATCACCTACACTTCCTATAAAAATTTTTGGATGCACAGCCTTTGTACACATTCATGATCATAACCAGGGAAAACTTGACCCTAGAGCAAAAAAATGCGTCTTTGTAGGATATGTACCTACTCAAAAAGGTTATAAATGTTTTGATCCAATTTTTAAAAAAATGTTTGTTACCATGGATGTAACCTTTTTTGAATCTAAACTTTTTTTTGCTACTCATCTTCAGGGGGAGAGTACAAGTGAAGATGTAACCAAATTTAGAATTAATGATGTTTTTGATGTTTTTGAAATAGATTCAACACATACTCTTAATATTGAGACTGAAAATTCGGATTCACATGTTAAAAAACCGGAAAATATAGATGGAACAAATGATGTTTTACATATTGAAAATTCAAGCAGCCTACTGCCATGTCAAAATCAGAATCTCAGTAGCTCAGAAAATGGGAACAAGACTGGTACTAAGAATACAGATCTCTTGGTCTACTCAAGGAGGAAACAAAATTCAAAGAAACAAGGTCCCGATCCTCTACAAGACCATGAGTCCGAACTAAGGGAAGAACCAAAACACTTCCCCAAGTGCCCAGGTAACAATCAATCCAATTCTTGTTTAAATTCCAGTCCCAAGCCCCTTGATGATTCCATACAGTCTATCCCTAGTGCTAGTACTGAGTCATTTGATGATCTCAATATTCCTATTGCCACCCGCAAAGGTGTCCGGTCATGCACTAAACACCCAATGTCTAATTATGTGTCCTATAAGAATCTCTCTCCTTCAATTTTTACATTTACCTCACATCTCACTTATGTGGAAATTCCAAAGAATGTACAAGAAGCTTTACAGGTTCTTGAGTGGAGGAAAGCTATTTCTGAAGAGATGAGAGCACTTGAGAAGAATCACACATGGGAAGAAACGGATCTGCTGAGAGGAAAGAAAACAGTTGGCTGCAAATAGGTGTTCACCATCAAGTATAATTCGGATGGATCTCTCGAAAGGTATAAAGCACGGTTGGTGGCTAAAGGGTTTACTCAAACCTATGGCGTTGATTATCTCGAGACCTTTGCTCCAGTGGCAAAGCTGAATACCGTAAGAGTACTTCTTTCAATTGCAGCAACTCTTGACTGGCCGCTTCAACAGTTAGATGTGAAGAACGCATTTCTAAACGGAGAATTGGAAGAGGAAGTTTATATGGATCCACTGCCTGGATTTGATAAGCACTTTGGATCTAAGGTGTGTAAGCTAAGAAAATCACTTTATGGGCTCAAACAATCCCCAAGAGCCTGGTTTGAACGATTCACTCAGTCTATTAAAAATCAGGGATATGTCCATACCCAAAGTGACCACACTATGTTCATCAAGTACTTCGATGACGGGAAAATTGCAGTTTTGATAGTCTACGTAGATGATATCATCCTTACTGGAGATAATTCTGTTGAAATGAGTCGTTTGAAGGAAAGTCTGGCTTCAGAATTTGAGATCAAAGACTTGGGATCTTTAAAATATTTTCTGGGAATGGAAGTTGCTCGTTCAAAAAAGGGTATTGTTGTCTCACAAAGCAAATACGTCCTTGACCTCTTTAAAGAAACAAGAATGAGTGGGTGTAGGCCTGTTGATACCCCAATGGACCCTAACAAGAAGTTGGGAGATGCCAAAGATGGAGATCCAGTAAATACAACACGATATCAGAAGTTGGTAGGAAAACTAATTTACATATCTCATACCAGACCAGACATTGCGTTCGCAGTTAGTATGATAAGTCAATTCATGCACTCACCATGTGAAGAACACCTTGAGGCAGTATAGCTAATCTTGAGGTATTTGAAAAGCACTCCAGTGAAAGGACTCCTCTTCAAGAAACATGAGCAAAAAACAATTGAAGCATACACGGATGCAGATTGGGCAGGTTCCGTCATAGACAGAAGATCTACATCTGGATATTGCACTTATGTTTGGGGAAACTTAGTCAATTGGAAAAGCAAGAAACAAAGTGTAGTAGCTCGAAGTAGTGCAGGAACTGAGTACCGGGCAATGGCTTATGGAGTATGTGAAATATTGTGGTTAAAAAGGATCCTTGAGGAATTGAAGAAACCAATAGAGATGCCTATGAAATTCTACTGTGACAACAAGGCTGCGATTAGTATTGCTCACAACTCAGTGCAACATGAAAGAACTAAACACGTTAAAATTGACAGACATTTTATAAAGGAGAAGCTAGAAGAAGACACTATATGTATGCCGTTTGTTCCAACACAACA